GTGTCCGCTGTGCCCAATTCGAAAAACTATCGAAATGATAGCTGATGGTTTTTTTTACCGCGAGACTTTCAGAAAAAAGAACCCTTTTACCTGTCAAAAGAAATTGTGTAGTTAACAAGGAAAAACCATTTCAAACGTGTCCATTGCATGTGTCAAAAACATGTAATAAAAAAGTTTATTATGTTAATAAATAACAAAATACTTGAAATATTCTATGTAACGAAATTTTCTTTTACAATCACTTCAGTTACTAGTTTATATTTATGCGTAAAACCTGTTTGCTGCATTATGATAAGATACGATATAATTTTTAAATTAATATTTATTCAAAACTTATCGCAATTATTTAGAAGAATTAAACCAATTTATGTAAAGACATCTCGATATTTGATCGGTTATTATGACGTGGCCTTTTTGTCATTGCTATAATTTAATAGTGTTTTATTACATTAGAAAAAAAATATTTTACTGCAAAATACGAATATTTTCTTATTGCACTAAATTCATTTAATTAACTGTAAATATAAGTAAAAGATTTTCTGTTATAAGTCGATATACAAGCGATATATTTCAAAGCGATATAATACTAGTGAGTAATTATATAATGTATTAGGTCATCGATAACTGTCGCATGATTATAAAAGTAGATGTAATGTAGTAAAGTGCGAATAACTTTCAGACAGTAAGTACAGTATTTATTTAAATATATTTATCTGAACTATATTTTATAGTGATGTAACGAATATTCGGTTACTATTCGGTATTCGGCCTATTCGGCCTATTTTTCACTATTCGGCCGAATACCGAATATTTGATCACTATTCGGCCGAATACCGAATACCTAAAAACAGGAGTAATAAATAACAAAAACACAGTAAATTAATCATNGTAAAGTGCGAATAACTTTCAGACAGTAAGTACAGTATTTATTTAAATATATTTATCTGAACTATATTTTATAGTGATGTAACGAATATTCAATTACTATTCGGTATTCGGCCTATTCGGCCTATTTTTCACTATTCGGCCGAATACCGAATATTTGATCACTATTCGGCCGAATACCGAATACCTAAAAACAGGAGTAATAAATAACAAAAACACAGCAAATTAATCGTTTTGGTATTTAGATTTAATGTTATCGAGTCACTGTTGTTTGTTTATATTTATTTATAACTTGTAACATGCACAAAATAAAAAAGAAAATAATATTAGTCACATGTATTCACAATTTATAATTACAAAGATCAGCACACGTACACGTCTATCGTTTGAGAATTCTCGCACATTTGAAGGTCTGACCCTGCCTATCCTTCTTTTTAAGCGCTCGTCTTTGCTTTTCCCTTTCTCTTTCCTCTATCGCTCTAATCCATGTATGCCTGTGCATACATCATAATACGCGCTCACGATACTTTCGATTCGTCATTTTTCCGTCGTAGATTTCCCATTTTACAATTACGTGACAGCCTGGTGATAACGAAGAAAAGAGACAGATATGTCATCGATACAAGTCACAGTTATGATTTCACAGATTCGAGACAGCTTGATAGCCCGAACGGCCCCAGGCTTTCGCCCGTGCACGCTAAGTGACTTTCAAGCATTTAGCTTTCCGAAGTCTATGACAACAATTGTTTGGCATTGACGGTTGCGAATTTCGTGCCAATAAGCTGCCTCGACTTGTTCGATTATGTTATCAACTCAATTTCATATTTATTTTCACATTTTCACTTCGCGGTCCTTCTCTGTTCTTTTTCCGTTATTTACAGTGTAGGTCATTTCATTGTTATCCACATTTGATATCATTTATCACATACTTCCATGACACTCTTGTCTGTCCGCTACAACTGTCAAGAATTAATGCGATTGGCGAAGCGTAGTGACAGTGGGCCAATAGAGAGCAGGATCCTTGCCATAATGCAGTTTGCGCGCCAATTTTCGTACGTGCGTTAATCAAGCCGAATAGTTTGGCCGAATATTCGGTATTCGGCCTGAAGCCGAATATACTATTCGTTACAACACTAATATTTTACTAATCCTAATATATATAACGTCGTTACAAATGAAAAATATCATCCCGATTGAATTTAGAACTAAGCATCATCATAAATAACGATTCGATATTAAGACTCTATGAGGAAAGTAAAGAAAATACTAAATTAAACATTAATTGTAAACACAAACTGGTTTTCTAAAATACAAGGAAAATGCCAAACGAGGTAAGAGTAATTAATTAAACAAATCGAACATTTACAAATGTCAATTAATCGTAAAGAAAAATTAATAAATATATAAATTTTTCTTAAATGAAGAACTTAGTCAAAGCAATCAATGAACAATAACTAAGAGATGAGTCATCTCAACTCAAGAGATATGAAAACATCAAGTCAGAGATGACTGTATGGAAGCTAGACGCAATCACTTTTTCAGCTACAATGATGACACTGCCAATGAATCATTACTCGATGATGAACTTCTTCATTTCAGATGTTTTCCTCACTACCTCAGCTACAATGATGACACTGCCAATGAATCATCACTCGATGATGAACTTCTTCATTTCAGATGTTTTCTCACTACCTCAGTTACAATGATGACACTGCCAATGAATCATTACCCATTGATGAACTTTCTCATGCTGGAAGTTTTAAAAAGGAGAGCTCCAGTCAGAGAAAGGCAGTCAGAAAGAGACAGTGAGATAGTCAGCAGTTGGAGACACAGCACCAGCTAGAGAAAGGCAGTTGAGTTGCAGACTCTGTCACAGAGAGAGTTGTTGCAGAAAGCAGTTAGAGAGTGACAGAACAGCAGTTGCAGAGTTGCAGGCCCACGTCTCAAGAGAAGACATCTTGTTTACTTGGTATGTTGTGAGTCGCGTAAGTTCGAATACCTCCCGTTAGGCACCCCCTCTCGTTGTATAGATAAAAATAGGCAAATTTCCAAAATCGGGTTTTATAATTCTGTTCTAAACTTTCGTTTTTGTTAATAAATGTCCTTAAATTGGTTATATCTGACTCTGCATTCTTGCTCCTGAGAGGCTCATTCCTGGACTTCGGAGTGACTCTTTTCCTTACGCTTTAATTACCCATTTCATCTCAAACGGCAGTGTGTCCGATAAAACACATCTGGTGGCAGGACTCTACCCAAAAAAGTACGTAATAAATCTTTACGGCCCCCGGAACCTCACATTATTGTACCAGTACATAACCTATTTTTATAATTTCTACCGGTACATAATTCATTAGACTGAAAAGTGTTAGTTTTGGATGTTACTTAAATTTAGACTCTCGTAGCAAACAGTAGAATGTGTTGTATTTTAATCAGATTTTGATATAAAATGTCGTACCAGACTAATAAAAACTTAGTATTTCATAATTTAATCAGAAATTTAAAAATTCCATTAAATTTCTCATATGAACACATAAACGTTGAACCCCCAAAATATTAATGTAATCATTTGAAAAAAAAATGTTATAAGTAAGTTATATAATATGTATATATGTTACAGTCAAAACTCATTTTTAGTTAGAATGCGTTTTAACAAGTTGAAACTAGTTTATACTGGATGTTTTTTCTTAAAGTCTGTTTTGTCTGGTTATAAGTAGTTTTAACTCAAATTCATTTATGACTAGCTGTAAATTTTAGTTTTAACTAGACAAAACGGGTTTTAACAAAGACATCCAGTATAAACTAGTTTCAACTTGTTAAAACGCGTTTTAACTAAAAAGAAAAATGTAGAGTTATAAATTCTCACTCTTATCAGTCCGCTGTCTGTCATTTCTGAATCTCGATAACGGAGTTCGGTTTGATTAACTGTGAGACCTAATATGGAAATCACAGGTGTAGAAGGCTCGATTAAATATATAAGAACTTCAACACAAACCAGAAGTCACGTTATTTTAGTTCAAACTTTTCCCTTTTAAAGTTGTTATATAGATCACAGGCTATATATAGATCACTCTATTGTTAACGGAAAAGTATAATATAGAGGGGCAAATCACATCTAATTCGAGGTGAAAAGCATATATTTTAAATTAAATAAATAAATAAATTGCAGCCATGCATTGTAACGGTAACAATAAATAATTACTTTTATCATTTATGAGTTTATAACTTTTACATAATATATTATTTTCTAGGTGAAGCAAAGTATTTCATCTATTATAATATAAAATAAGATTTTAATTAGCCAGGAAAATGTTTAAGGGTATTTTTAGTTTTTAATTCAAATGAAACAGGTTGCATAAATTAACTATGAAAATTAATTATATCAAAAAATGAGAATGTGATTGGTATAAGAGTTAGGTGAGTTAATGTGTGATTCAAGGCTAATACAATGTAAATTTAGAGATTGAGTAAAAGATATAACTTATAAAGTATTTATTGACAGGAGTATTACAATATAAGAGCATAAAAAGGAGGTGTACATGTTATTCGCTTTTGTCATCCGGCCAGACAAACTGTGATATTGCTGCACTACGAAAAGTTTCATGCAGTTAGGTAATTAGCAAAAAGACTGCGATCTATCCAAAGTTTCTGCGACATTAACATCAGTTGCCCAATCTAAAATTGCAATTGTAGGAGCAGTTCGTTTTGATGGCCAAATGCGTGTACCCTAGTTTTAAATGTAAAAGTTACGCCATTTAGACTCATTTCAATGTTATTTCACAAGTTAATCAATTTTATACTTTTCCTCTCTTGTTTTAAGTAGGAAGTGGTCATTCCAAGCCGCAATCTCAACCGGTAGTATCGCCCGTTATTGAGGAGCCAGCTGCGACAGTATCAAGACAAGACGAAAGATCTACAACGACTAAACTTGCAGTCATAGTATTACCTGGTGAAAGTGTTGCAGAACCATCTTCACTGAAAGGTGTGTATAATTTTCTTTAAATAACAGTCTGTCAAACGTACAAATATAGTAAAAATTTAATAAAATATCTAGGTGCTGAAAGGGTTACCCGGTAGAAAAACCACCAATTCGCAGTGAGAGTGGACATCCATCGACAATGGCTCTTGCAACGGTAGCACAATCGGAAACAACAATCGAATATTTTTCAAGCGCTATGAAAAGATTGGGTCTGGAAATCACTTTCAGTGGTTCAAACCATTCTAGATTCGCTAAACGACCAGGAATTGGAGTTAAAGGTAGAAAGATTAATTTAATAGCAAACTACTTTCCTATAGATATACCAGAAGGAGAGATATACCATTATGACGTGGATATTCAAAAGCTTATACCTGTACGTGATGAGGGTGAAAAACTGCCCAAACATAAAAAGTATAAATGCCTGAATACAAAACAAAACAGAAATATTGTAGAAGCAATGATTAAGCAGGTGCCAATGTTTAAGAATATTCGGCCGGCATTTGACGGAGAAAAAAATTTATATACACGTAACTTGTTACCAGTTAAAGACCAAAAATTAATGACTGTGAAAGTTGCAGACGAATTTAATCCTGATAAAGAGATCAATTACGAAATAAAAATACAACCTGTGAATAGAAAAGATACGATGAGAAGATCAGCAAATAATTCAATTAATTTAGAACCATTACATCAGTTGTTAGCTGGTAGATGCAGTAATATAACGGAGGGTATCATTTTGGGAATCATGGCCATTGAAACCGTACTAAGACACGGTCCTGCCTTACGATTGGTGCCAGTTGGAAGATCATTCTTCACCAAACCACGTATGGAGGAAGTTCCTCCGTTGAGTGAAGGAAGGGAAATTTGGTTCGGTCATCATCAAAGTATGCAGCTGACAAAATGGAAGCCTATGCTTAACATAGATAAATCAGCTACGACATTTTATAAAGGTTGTTCCGTTATCGAGTTTATGTTCGAAGTATTAAATCTGGGTACTGAGAATATTGAATCGTCTTTAAGACAGTTCACAGGTCTGACCGATGCGCAGAGGCGGACAGTAGCCAAAAAATTAAAGAATTTAAAAGTTAAAGTAACGCATTTACCTTATCCTCGAAAGTACAGAGTTCGAGATATAACAAGAGAAAGCGCAAATAATATATTTTTTACGAGAAGAATTAATGACAAAGAAGTTAAGTGTTCCGTATCCGAATACTTTCGTACTGAATATAAAGCATTGAAAAATCCAAACTTACCTTGTTTAAATGTGGGAAGTAATAACAGAGCTGTTTATTTACCAATGGAAGTATGCGATATCGTTGAAGGTCAACACTGCACAAAGAAGTTAAATGAAAAAGAAACTGCTAATATGATTCGCTACACGGCTCGTTTTCCTGCCGAGAGATTCAATGATATAAGACAATCAGTTAATGCTTTGATGCTAGATTTCGAGCCATTCGCAAAAGAATTTGGCGTTCGTGTAAGTCCCAACCCCTTGAAGTTTACGGGAAGAATGTTGGATCCTCCCCAAATAACTTATCAACAACAGCAGAACATCAGACCTGTCAACGGTAGCTGGGATATGAAAGGAAAGAGATTTCATACAGGAGTAACAATTGACAAATGGGTTTTGCTGAGTTTCTCAATGGCTCGATTCTGCGACGAGAATGCTCTAGACAACTTTGTGAAAATGCTATGTAATGGTGGAAGAAATGTAGGGGTGCAATTTGCCCAACCGCTCCTTATTAAGCGCTTCACACGTCACGATGGAAGACCTTCAGATATCCTTAGACAAGCGAAAAATAGTTATCCAAATTTGCAATTAGCCATAATTGTGCTGCCACCAGAAAGCATATATTCGGAAATTAAAACAGTTGCAGAAACAGAACTGGGACTTATGACCCAATGTATAAAAGATATAAATGCCACGGGAAGAAAATGCAACCCACAAGTAATTTGTAATTTATGTCAAAAAATTAATGCCAAAATGGGTGGAGTTAACAATTCTCTGTCGCTAGCAGACAAGCCTGCAATTTTGAAGAGACCTGTGATTATTGTAGGCATCGATTGTACTCATCCAGCTCCTGGTGACAAAATAGGATATTCGATAGCAGCAGTGGTGGGAAGCCTNCTCGTTTACAACAATAAAATATTGGGTGGCAGAGTTTAAACGAGGCCGTACGAGCTGCCAAGACGAACATCGTAGTGGTCGACCATGTGAGGTGACCATGCCAGAAATAGTGGAAAAAATCCACAAAATGATATTGGATGACAGTCGACTTTAAGTGCGAGAGCTAGCAGACATGATAGGCATTTCAAAAAGTGCTGTACATCGCATTTTAACTGAAAATTTGGACAAGAGAAAGCTGTGCGCAAGATGGGTGCCGCGTTTGCTCACAATGGACAAAAACAGCGTCGTGAGAATGTTTCAATCGAGTCTTTGGCAATGTTTCGCAGCAACAAAGCCGAGTTTTTGCGTCGATTCATAACCATGGATGAAACATGGGTCCATAACTTCACACCTGAGACTAAAGAACAGTTGAAACAATGGACTGAAATGGAAAAATCAGCTCCAAAGAAGGCGAAAACAGTTTCATATGCTGGAAAGGTCATGGCGTCAGTTTTTTTGGGATGCGCCCAGGAAAAACAATCAACGGCAAGTATTAGGTGAACTTATTGCAGCACTTGAGTGATGAAATCAAGAGAAAACAGCCACATTTGGTGAAAAAAAATGTTGTTTCATCAAGACAACGCACCAGTTTACACATCCTTTATTGCGATGGGCAAAATCAATGAGTTAAGGTTCAAATTGCTTCCTCACGCACTCTATTTGCCAGATTTAGCCCCCTCGAATTATTTTTTCTTTCTAGACTTAAAAAAATGGCTTGGTGATATAAGATTTGCCAACAATGAACAGGTGGCGTCTGAAGTTGATGGCTATTTTGGGAAACTCGACAGTTCTCACTATAAACAGGGGATCGAAGCTATTGAACATTGCTGGAAAAAGTGTATCGAGCTAAAAGGAGACTATGTCGAAAAATAAAGATATGTTTTACCAAATTTTTTGTGTTTTCTTTGTTAGGTCGGGTACTTTTGGGACTACTTTCGTATAGGATATTTGTGTAGTAAATTTTTAATATTTATGATATTAGAATAAAAGCAATAAAAGTATCACTATTATTTATCTATACATAATACCAATTATTATTTATTATGCATTATATTAATAATTTCTTGAATAAATCAATTATTCATGAAACGACGTACTACTGTGTTTTATCTTTTTTTTCATATACCTTAGATCTGCAAATATAAGATTTATAAAACAATTGGGTAAACAGATACAGATATGACAGCGCTACAACAAAGACAAATTTTAAAATCTCAAAAGAAGTGTCACACGGTTGTTCATTTAAAAGCAACCAATACATCCAACACGTAAGCAATAATGCAAACCACATTTGAGTAACTTGAGTTGCAGTAATAAACATGGCAATTGTTGAAGAAATTTTAATACCCATGCATTTTACAGTAAAATAGGTATACATCAATGAGTGTACATAGAGATTAGTGTAGACAATCATCATTAAATAGGTCGATCGTTTGTAAGAAGCATACCATGACATAATCAACATAGTAGGATGATGATAACAGTGAAGAAACATCAATTTTCTTTTATGAAGTATTATCATTATTGTATCTCCCAATTCCCAAACTTTCGAAAACGCAAACAGTGTAGCCCAAAACAGAAGCGGTGATGTGTTATCTACAATACTCTTGTTACAAAGTATTTCGTAAAAAGTAAAGTGTTTAAATTGTTCGAACAAAATTGGAATTAACCGAATTGAGCTGCAAATACTGTAAACAGCCAAAATCCCGTTCCATATTGTGAACGCACGATTGAAGTTATAAGGAGGTCGATCTTTCATGTAACGCTGAAGGATCTTGATGGCCAGTATATAGAAGATGGATATGTAAATGGAATAATGCCAGTAAGTGCAAAAGAAATTTCTCACAGCACCAGCAGTGAAAACTGTTTCGAAAAACAGAGGTTCTACTGGAATCGTTCTGTTGTAATTTTTCATTCTTGAATAACGTCAAAATGCTAAAAATAAGTCAAACAGTTCAATAAAATTAGTTTATATTAGACTAATTCCTGTCAAATTTTTCATTCTTGAATAACGTCAAAATGCTAAAAATAAGTCAAAGAGTTGAATAAAATTAGTTTATATTAGACTAATTCCTGTCAAATAATAATTAAATAAACTTTAAAAGTTATATAGGATTTATTTTAAAATGTTAGGTATCACAATACTTAATTCNATGAAACAGGTTGCATAAATTAACTATGAAAATTAATTATATCAAAAAATGAGAATGTGATTGGTATAAGAGTTAGGTGAGTTAATGTGTGATTCAAGGCTAATACAATGTAAATTTAGAGATTGAGTAAAAGATATAACTTATAAAGTATTTATTGACAGGAGTATTACAATATAAGAGCATAAAAAGGAGGTGTACATGTTATTCGCTTTTGTCATCCGGCCAGACAAACTGTGATATTGCTGCACTACGAAAAGTTTCATGCAGTTAGGTAATTAGCAAAAAGACTGCGATCTATCCAAAGTTTCTGCGACATTAACATCAGTTGCCCAATCTAAAATTGCAATTGTAGGAGCAGTTCGTTTTGATGGCCAAATGCGTGTACCCTAGTTTTAAATGTAAAAGTTACGCCATTTAGACTCATTTCAATGTTATTTCACAAGTTAATCAATTTTATACTTTTCCTCTCTTGTTTTAAGTAGGAAGTGGTCATTCCAAGCCGCAATCTCAACCGGTAGTATCGCCCGTTATTGAGGAGCCAGCTGCGACAGTATCAAGACAAGACGAAAGATCTACAACGACTAAACTTGCAGTCATAGTATTACCTGGTGAAAGTGTTGCAGAACCATCTTCACTGAAAGGTGTGTATAATTTTCTTTAAATAACAGTCTGTCAAACGTACAAATATAGTAAAAATTTAATAAAATATCTAGGTGCTGAAAGGGTTACCCGGTAGAAAAACCACCAATTCGCAGTGAGAGTGGACATCCATCGACAATGGCTCTTGCAACGGTAGCACAATCGGAAACAACAATCGAATATTTTTCAAGCGCTATGAAAAGATTGGGTCTGGAAATCACTTTCAGTGGTTCAAACCATTCTAGATTCGCTAAACGACCAGGAATTGGAGTTAAAGGTAGAAAGATTAATTTAATAGCAAACTACTTTCCTATAGATATACCAGAAGGAGAGATATACCATTATGACGTGGATATTCAAAAGCTTATACCTGTACGTGATGAGGGTGAAAAACTGCCCAAACATAAAAAGTATAAATGCCTGAATACAAAACAAAACAGAAATATTGTAGAAGCAATGATTAAGCAGGTGCCAATGTTTAAGAATATTCGACCGGCATTTGACGGAGAAAAAAATTTATATACACGTAACTTGTTACCAGTTAAAGACCAAAAATTAATGACTGTGAAAGTTGCAGACGAATTTAATCCTGATAAAGAGATCAATTACGAAATAAAAATACAACCTGTGAATAGAAAAGATACGATGAGAAGATCAGCAAATAATTCAATTAATTTAGAACCATTACATCAGTTGTTAGCTGGTAGATGCAGTAATATAACGGAGGGTATCATTTTGGGAATCATGGCCATTGAAACCGTACTAAGACACGGTCCTGCCTTACGATTGGTGCCAGTTGGAAGATCATTCTTCACCAAACCACGTATGGAGGAAGTTCCTCCGTTGAGTGAAGGAAGGGAAATTTGGTTCGGTCATCATCAAAGTATGCAGCTGACAAAATGGAAGCCTATGCTTAACATAGATAAATCAGCTACGACATTTTATAAAGGTTGTTCCGTTATCGAGTTTATGTTCGAAGTATTAAATCTGGGTACTGAGAATATTGAATCGTCTTTAAGACAGTTCACAGGTCTGACCGATGCGCAGAGGCGGACAGTAGCCAAAAAATTAAAGAATTTAAAAGTTAAAGTAACGCATTTACCTTATCCTCGAAAGTACAGAGTTCGAGATATAACAAGAGAAAGCGCAAATAATATATTTTTTACGAGAAGAATTAATGACAAAGAAGTTAAGTGTTCCGTATCCGAATACTTTCGTACTGAATATAAAGCATTGAAAAATCCAAACTTACCTTGTTTAAATGTGGGAAGTAATAACAGAGCTGTTTATTTACCAATGGAAGTATGCGATATCGTTGAAGGTCAACACTGCACAAAGAAGTTAAATGAAAAAGAAACTGCTAATATGATTCGCTACACGGCTCGTTTTCCTGCCGAGAGATTCAATGATATAAGACAATCAGTTAATGCTTTGATGCTAGATTTCGAGCCATTCGCAAAAGAATTTGGCGTTCGTGTAAGTCCCAACCCCTTGAAGTTTACGGGAAGAATGTTGGATCCTCCCCAAATAACTTATCAACAACAGCAGAACATCAGACCTGTCAACGGTAGCTGGGATATGAAAGGAAAGAGATTTCATACAGGAGTAACAATTGACAAATGGGTTTTGCTGAGTTTCTCAATGGCTCGATTCTGCGACGAGAATGCTCTAGACAACTTTGTGAAAATGCTATGTAATGGTGGAAGAAATGTAGGGGTGCAATTTGCCCAACCGCTCCTTATTAAGCGCTTCACACGTCACGATGGAAGACCTTCAGATATCCTTAGACAAGCGAAAAATAGTTATCCAAATTTGCAATTAGCCATAATTGTGCTGCCACCAGAAAGCATATATTCGGAAATTAAAACAGTTGCAGAAACAGAACTGGGACTTATGACCCAATGTATAAAAGATATAAATGCCACGGGAAGAAAATGCAACCCACAAGTAATTTGTAATTTATGTCAAAAAATTAATGCCAAAATGGGTGGAGTTAACAATTCTCTGTCGCTAGCAGACAAGCCTGCAATTTTGAAGAGACCTGTGATTATTGTAGGCATCGATTGTACTCATCCAGCTCCTGGTGACAAAATAGGATATTCGATAGCAGCAGTGGTGGGAAGCCTGGATTCATATCCCAGCAAATTTAAGGCGTCCGTTCGTGTTCAGCATAAGAAACAGAAAGTAGATCAGAAAACATTTGGACAG